TGTGCTGCCAAAGGAGCAGACTCACAGGCACATAACTCAAGTGTTACGTGCCGGGACGGCAATCCCAGAACGGCGGAATACCGCGCCGCAGAATCAAGCCTGCGTTTGAGTGAAAATCTACGCCTAGTCCGAGTAAAGCTCTGACCGGCTGCGCCCGTCTATGGACTTGCAATACATTGATCGGAAACACGGCGCTGCACCACGCCTGGTGCGCGAGACGGTCGAACTGTGGTAAAGCTGTGAATAATTGATCTAGTGCGAAACACGAGTGGGAAAAAATGGGAGACGTGCTGAGTATATGCAGCGGCCCATCATTACCAACAGACGCAACTGCCGATGTACATAGGTCATCGGGAGGGCGCTCTCGCGAGATACAAGTAGGCCCCATATATCCACTGGAGACGAATATCCGTGGCCTAGTAGCCCCTCCCTCCTCGCACGACCGCCAGCGCGAGTCATCATCCGATGCGCCTGCAGCACACCAAGCCTCCACAGCGGCGGAGCCTCTGGCCGGGACTCATCCTGCCGAAGAAACGAATAAAGCGCAAGACAACATACGGTACTCGTTTTACAAGAGCGCGCGGCGAGATCCGGCAGCTACTCACAAAGCAGCTTCGTGCGCGCCGTCTCATCCGCATGCCTGCATCAAGTTTGACTGATCACATCTTGTAACCAGAGTCAATTTCCGGCAAGGAAACCGCCGCAATGAAATGGACCGCGGAGTCTTTCTACACTCACGTCGCCAAAGAGTACGCTGTGTGCCTCGACGGCTGGCCGCAGCATCTCGTCTTTGCGAATCTCAGTGATGTCCCGGGCGGCATCGCCATGTTACAGGATCTCCTCAGCCGCATCCACCGCGGTGTTCTCGTGTTCACAAAGCTCTCAGAGGACGAGCATAAAGCACTCACCGTGCAGAGTGCTGCTCCAGGAAAGTTTACGCCGCGTCCACCCCGGGCTCAACGGCGGGATTATGGTGTACAGCGCGTGCCGCCCTGGCTCCGACTGTCGAGGCCGCCCCGGAAGGTCTGCGTGGGCCCCAAGAGTAGCGAGTATGTCGAAGACTCGGACGCGTACACGGCCGGAAAAAAATCAGGAGGAATCCTATCAGCGGAGGTACCGTGTAATTTCGCGCAGTCCCACCTGTGAGCAGCCTGCGATCTGCATGCGATCTGCTTGCAATTCAAGGTCGGCGTTTTGCCCTCGGGTTACGTGTGCATATATCACAGAGTACTTTGATGGACCCGAGGGTACGGTACACCTACCTTTTTGGGTAGCGTCAGGTGACGCACTCGCAGCGACAACGAAGTCCGAGGCGAGGATAACTTACTGGAGTGGTGAGCAAGGCTGCAAGGGTACTGTGATCATAGAGACATTATGGATTTGCCCGAAATAAGATTTCCTATATCCTCACGTATTCTGACTTCCGCGTTGAGAACGCGCGATACATATGTAGCATGCTCAAGAGTCAAGCTAGTCAAGACCGGACTTGCACTTGAAGAGGTTGTATGGGCATGGATGTTATTGACATACATATACAAGCCGTTGAGTCTGCTAACAAAGCCAGCATGGCTCAGTTGGCTACGACGTTGCCTCCATCTATCTACCATACCGGGGTTCGACTCCCGCTATGTTTGATCTATTTTTACAGTTTCCCCTTGTCCTTATGGCCGGCTATGGTTCCCCTTTCTGGTGGGGATTATGTCACAGCGGCCCACGTGTAAGACCTACAAGCAAACCACAGGCCCGTCCTGCAGGTGCGACATCACCCTTGATTCACAGGACACCGTCAAGCTATCCGTCAAAATATCATCATTCCCCTGCGGGTGCCTCGTTACCCGCCCTACGGTTGCCTACTGGCAGATTTCTGCCCGTGTATGATTCCGAGGTTGAGGAGATCGAGAGTGTTGCGGGGGTGGCTGATGACGGTGGTCTATCGGAGATTGAGAGCGCGTCGGGATTTGATGACTGAATGTTACTGTGGAATTGAATGTTCTTTTTGCGCGGATGTATGCGAGTCGCCGTTAGACGCGGCCGCGCGTAGCTTGCGAGTCTGAAAGTCCGGGAGCAAGAGAAGGCAGTCGGCGCGGCAGCGCGCTAAGCCCGGTTGCCTCATTTGGGTGTGCCATGTGGCCGAGCCATACGGTGGCTGACAGCGCGTTGACAGGCCTTCGTCTCGACGTGCCAACGTCGCCCTGACTTGGTGAGGAGTCTTGCAGCCCAACCAGGCTTGCAGAGAGCCATTCCCATGTCATAGGAAGCCATATATTGCATTTTTCGTGCAGAAACAGTGCTTTCACGCATGTTCCAGCCGAGTCACGGTTGTTGTTCCGGCCGTGCACGCTGCAAATCGGACGACAGGAGCTAACCTCAGCTTAACCTAACCTCTGTAAACCACAGTCCCTGTCTGTACTTGTCCCCTGTCAATATGGCATTGCCACGGACATTTAGCAATGATGTTTGGTGCGCGCAGATACCCTGAGAGCTTCAGACGGTCATATATTGACCTGGGCCGAGAGTATGATCCCTGGTGCCCTCAGCTGCCAAATGGGGTTAGGTTAGGTTAGGTTAAGCGAGCCTGGTGCCTCCGGCGGAACACACCGTGCAGGCAGCATCCGCCGACGGCACACAACCATACAGGTCCGCCGTCGCGTACAACTGTGGTATACCCTCACCCCAATGATCCTCACCTGATCATAGATAGAACGACATTGCTTATGTCGTCCCTGAGAACACCAAAAGTCATGACATTGGCCTGGACTACAGACAGCATTCCAGATTATAATGAGGATTCCTCGTTACAGTCTGGTATGCTGTCTGAGAATCCAGCCAATACAGGCTTTGAGCTCAAGCCAGCTCTGTCAGACTGATGAGCAATAGATCTCACCAGGAAATCCATAGCCGACGGCTCATAGCAATGTCCGATCAGTTACAGACCACAGACTTAACACCGGTACAGCGCTCAACTCAGTCTCAGATCTAGTAGATGTCCTCATCCCGTTGATGGCAACATGTCTGACATTCAGCTGTCCAGACTCAAATTCATATGAATGCCGTTGGTTTGCTCATCTCAATAGCTTACTTCATGTCCCTGGCACTCTCATTGTACATACCTGTCGACACTCCCACTGTCCCAGCATCTACCACGCACTCATCTACCTATGCAGTTCCTTGCTCGCCATCCCGTCCCTCCCGCCTTCACCCACATCTTCTACCATTCACATCCTACAGTCACTGCCATTTCGGTCACCACCATATGCCTATAGCTCCCCCTGTTCTTGTCCTTGCGTCTGCAACGCTCACGCTGCTCACCTTCGACACCGGCTCGTCCATGCACAGGAGCAACCAGCAGCCCCATCTCTCATCCGCGTACGCGTGTTCGTTTCGTTTGTCTTTGTCACGCCACGATCTCACGCGCTGGTCCATAGCAGCTCGCGACTGCTCGCGTCGGACACCACTAGCCACGCCTAAACATCAGCAGCGATGGTCACACAAAATGCGGACCAGCTCTATGTCCCTCCATAGCAGGGCGCGCGCGCCGCTGCCCGGTTGTCGGGACGTCAGCCCCGACGACACAGCATCTGCGCACCTCGCCCGGCTCGCTCACCCATGGCGGTCTACGTTCACGGCCGGCACGACAGTGTGCCCGGTAACTGCTAACACCGATCCTGCACCCACATTGCCCGGCCCGTCGCGACTCGACGCCATGCCTTCAGCCACGAACGGTCACCTACAGCGCGGACGGTCTGCTCACCGCACCTGCCGATCCGCCCTCCGTTCCTCGCGCCGGTGCCGGTCCTCGCGCCTACTGCACGTCGCGGCCCGCAACGCGACGTTACTTCCGGTAGATGTTGCGCCGTCACGACAGCTTCAACGGTTGCTGGCGGGGACTCGTCTCATCCGCCAAGGACCCGCTGCCAAACCCTCCTGCTGGTCAATGCCACGAGCATGCGCCCGGTGGCCGCAAAGCCTCGCTCGCGCCCGTTCTGACGGGTTCCGCGAGAGTGCGTTCGAGGGCGATCGACGACAGAGACAAAGCCCTGCTTCGTACTTGGTTCACGGTGCACGCGCGGCGGGTCCGCATCCCAGCTCGACCTTCGCGGCTGCTGATTGGCTCTCACCACGCGTCCTCCGCCTCGACACTCGTGCGCTCGACAATCATCCACGCCGACTATCTAGTCGTGCGTGGCTGCCACCGATACATCCCTCCTGCGCCTGCGCCCACACACGACATCTGCCCGCCGACTCGGCAGACGGTGTCCGTGCACTCGAGAGGTAGCTCTTCTGGGCGTCCTCTGCGAGGCCCGCCCCGGTCACCTGCACGCGAACTCCGGGGCGACACTCTGCGCGGTGGTAGGCATTACCCGCCGGTCGAGACCGGACGCGCGCACGGGCACCGTACACATCGTACGACGATCTCGCTGGGCATTCAAGCACCACAGTCGGTCCAGAACTCGAGCCGGCGCGCAAATGCTCGGCGACGGTCCCCAACGCGCTCGCGGCACCCGTGCTCAGTGGTGCAGCGCGCGGGCGTGTCTGTGTGATCTACGCTGTTGTCCGAGCGAAGGACCGTGGGCGGCACGCGTGTCACGTACCAAGATGCCAGTGGGCGGCGGCGGTGGCCTCTGGGTGGAGGAGTCGTGGCGGCGGAGTGAGCGAGATCGCGCGGTGGCCCACCATCCGCGTGATGTTGTCTGTCCGGCGGGCGGATGAGCAGTGAGGCATGACGAGGGGCGAACGGAGGCGGGGTGCGAAGACGTCGGCATCCTCGCGGACGGAGCGGCTTGGGACGAGTGCGGCGATGCGGACGGAGTGGCTTGAGACGAGTGCGGCGATGCGGACGGAGTGGCTTGAGACGAGTGCGGCGATGCGGACGGAGTGGCTTGGGACGAGTGCGGCGACGCGTCTGCACAACAGGCAGAACGGCGCATGGACGCGAGGGGAGGGGGCGCAAGGAGGACTCGTCGACTCACCTCGAGACGGGGCATTTCCCGCCGGCTGGATCGGAGCGAAAGGAGGCGGACTTGCGAAGACGTCGGCATCCTGGCGGGGATGCTCGTGCGAGACGGCGAGGCATGAGCGCGACCGGAGGAGGCACAAGGTCGACTGACCTGTAGGACGATTCCCGCGAGTTGGGTGGAGGCGAGGGGTCGCTGTGCACGGCTGGAGCTGGTCCGAGAGGGGAGAGGCGGGCGTGGCGATGTAGTATACACAGTACCTAGCGACGCTGAGCTGCGCGGCGGATGCACGGCGTCGACTTGGGCAAGCCGGGGCCGCGCAGCCGTCTGCAGCTCTCGCACTCTGTGTTGCAGGAGGAGCCCATACTGCCTTCCTGGCGCTTTACATACCAGAGACCGAGTCTTACTCACGAGATGTGCCCGGTCTTGTGCGTGCGGGCTGTCCGTGCGGGCTGTCCGTCGCGTCGGGGCGCGCGACAAGTCCGGAGGAGACGCGAGACGACGCAGACCCGCGACTCGGTGCGGAGCGAGAGGCCGCTCGGATGCATGGCCGTTCTCTGAGCGTGCACGCCAGGGCTGGGTGAGCGTGGTCTGAGCGTGGCCTGAGCCAGAAGCGCGACGCTCGAGCTGCCCGCTCGATCACGAGCGCCACCCGACCGTCGGGCGGGGATGCGCCACCGCCTCGGGGGCCAATGACGTAGAGGCGCCGGGTGGGCTGTCGAAAGAGGAAAGCGAACCGAGCTGCCGCAGGCGGAGGCTTTGCGCTCCTTGTCGTCCTCTTCCATCAGCGCGGATGCCCCAGCCGCGCTTGAACGGCCCCAAGGCGTCGTCGCCGCCCCTTTCGCCGTCTTTGTCGTCCATTTCCCCGTCTTCGCCGTCCATTTCGCCGTCTTCGTCGTACGTCTATCCCGTCCGCTCGCTTCTCAGCGGAATCCGTCCTGCTCGAGCAGCCGCAGACACGCCAGGTGCGCATCTATCATCGCATTCGACGATCCCTAGCACATGCTCATATTCGTCGTAGATGTCTCCACGCCCGCGGCGTCTTTAGAGGAACACGGCAACGCCCCCATCGGATCCATTCCCGGAGAGGCGCCCCCCTCCAGTCGTTCTCTTACCGGCAGCGCCCTCCTTTCATCCACACCGTCCTTTAGCACCAAAGTCTCTGAGCCGCGGAAAGTCAGTACGCCAAACTTTCGCGACTTCTCTCCGGACGACGACCCGCTTTCCCGCCGTTCGTTTGTCTCTGCACACGCCGCTCTCCATCAGGCAATGATGGACACCGCGTTTCATGACGATGCTACGTCCAATGCAGAGGCGTTCTCTGACGTCGCGTCCGAAGACATCCTGCCCGCACCAGATGATAGCGTCTCCAACTTCGACGCGGCATTACACGGTCGCTTCTCACACTCGGGCATCGTCCACTTGGCGCCTGCCTACTCCCCGCCAGGGTCTAATCCATCTGCGCCCTCGACCATCTCCGCGCCGTCGTCGCGCGAGTGCACGAGCCGCGACCCCGTCCAGGAGCCGGACGCGACCTCTCCGGAGTTGAAGGCCGAAGACGCGAGCTTGTCGAGCAGTAGCGGTGACAGTGGAGAGGGGCCACATATTGCGTTCAAGTACGCGCACATGGAGGATGAGCACGGACACCATCTCATTGTCGGGAGGGAGGGAAAGCTAGCTAAGTGTGAGGACGAGGTGCGTGCCCGAGTTCTGTGCGGCGGATTCGCGCTCACGATACGCAGCCGATCCGTACACCTGGTGCCGTCCAAGGCTATGGCATTCTCATCGCGGTGGAGGAGGATGAGGAGACAGGCGATCTTGTCGTGCGCCAGGTGTCAGAAGTGCGTGTGGCCCGCATCCTCCCATCAGTCTAGCATGCTGACAGCCTCGCAGAACTCGACAGAGCTGCTCGGGCTTTCACCGCAGCACCTCTTCTCCCTCGAGTGCTTCTCGCAGACCCTACCCGACCAACAGGCGGACGTGCTTTTCGACAACATTCAGTATCTGAACGACACCGCGCTCACACCCGAGGAGCAAGCCGAGAACCTACACGTCTTCATGTTGAGCGGCTGGGGCGAACCGGGCACCGTAGTCACAGAAGCCTTCTCGAAAGACCCCCAAAGGCGGCGCAGCTGGACCTGTTGGGTTGCAGCGCACCGGCCACAGATGACGGCCCCGGCGAACGTGGAGACGAAGTCGGATGGTACGTCCTCGAAGACGGATAGCAACATCATCATCCTGGAGTTCGAGCTCGAGCGCGACACGTTCAACCCGCTGTACCCGCCCCTCCCTACCGACGACACGTCGTCGATGTACTCGGGCGTGTCCTCGCCCTCGGAGGGCACCGCAGCCAGCTCGAACTCCCCGAGCAACTCTGCAACAGATAGCTCCGGCCGCACCTTGGTATCCTCCGGCAGCTCGCAGGATCAGCTGGCGAGCACACTGGAGGAGTCGCCTGGCCTGGCGTCAACGCCAAGCCTCGTGAGCAGCGGGAGCGACCTAGTTCCTCGTCAGACGGACAGCTCGCCTGCGCGCTCGGGGACGGGTGGAACATCCGCCTTCGATACCAACGCTGAGGATGACTGGATGCCCAGCCCGGAAGATATCCTGGAGAGCACGACGAGCCGATCGAAGCCTCTGCTGGCGCTTGAGCGCCTTCGGCGTACACGACGCGTCGTGGGTGACTCTTCTGCGTCCGGTAGCACCAGTACGTTTGGGTCATCGAGCTCTGGCTCTCCCAACGGGAACGCGGCACGGGAGTCACTGCGGCGGGGCCCGTCCCGCCGCCGCAGAGGCACGGGGGCTGTGGGCATGATGGACGTGTTTGCGGTCATGGCGCAGATCAACGAGCAGCTCGGAGCAGCGCCAGATCTGGATACGTTCATGAAGGTCGTGGTGGGTGTCATCAAGGACCTGACGCAGTTCCACCGGGTGCTGGTGTACCAGTTCGATGAGCTGTGGAACGGGCAGGTCGTTGCCGAGCTTGTGGACTGGAAGCAGACGCACGACCTGTTCAGAGGGCTGCACTTTCCGGCTACGGACATCCCCGCGCAGGTAAGTGGTCCACGCAGACATCCGTGGGATTGAACGTTAATCACAGTAGGCGAGGCATCTGTATGCGCTCAGTAGGTCTCCTTCGCCGGTCTCTTGGTCATGGTTTCTTAGATTGTGTGCAGATAAAGTACGGCTGTTGTATGACCGCGCTGCCCCGACGGCGCGGTTGGTTGTCAGGAGGAAGCCCTTGAGAAGCCATTTGTATGTATGTCCTAGCCGTCTCTTCGGGTGGTGGATGTTCGCGAACGCGATGTGAGTGCACTGTACTGCGATGGTCGTTGGACGCACTGATCAGAAGTGTATCACCGAGCTGCACGGCCGCAGGCAATGTGCGGGCACGCTCGCGAACAGCAACGCCGCGGACAGCAAGATGCCGCGGGAGTCTTCGGTAGTAGCGGAAGTGTCGGATGACGAGGATCGACGGGGCGAGGTTCAGCGATGAGACGTTGTAGGGCGACGAACTGGAATCTGGCCGGACGAGCCAGCAGACTGCGTACAGGTGAGTACGTTGTCTCTCGTCGCCTCGTGAGTTTAGACAACAGGCCGCGGTGTTGTGATGTCGGCGCGGACTCTGACCTTGTACATACATTCATTGTCAATATATCTCGTTGCACACTCATCACGGCGCGTGCTGGGATGTGGGAGGCGCAAGAGGATACATGGCTTGCCTCAGTCGCCCTCGCCTCGCCTCGCTCCGTTAACGATTGCGTACAACTTGAGGATGACTCTGACATTGAGCTCGCTCGCCAGCTTCAACCCATCTGTCTTCATTAACTGGAGGATGACTGTAACAAGGAGCTCGCTCGCCAGCTTCAACCCATCTGTCCTAGGATGACTGTAACATTGAGCTTGCTCGCCAGCTTCAACCCATCTGTCCTCATTAACTCGAGGTTGACTGTGACATTGAGCTCGCTCGCCAGCTTCAACCCATTTGTCCTCATTAACTCAAGGATGACTGTAATATTGAGCTCGCTCGCCAGCTTCAACCCATCTGTCCTAGGATGACTGTAGCATTGAGCTTGCTCACCAACTTCAACCCATCTGTCCTCATTAACTCGAGGATGATTGTAATATTGAGCTCGCTCGCCAGCTTCAACCCATGATCTGTCCTCATTAACTCGTTATGTTACGTTGTATACATGCTTATTCTGTCTTCTGTACGAACTAAGCTCGCCGTGACTCTAGTAACTATGTTCTCATCTCTCTTGTACGTCAAGATTCAAGATCGCTCGCCTGTTCCAACCCTTTTGTCCTCATCAGCTCCGAGTCCATGGCTGACTGTGCAAGCTCATTGTGTCTAGTACTACGACCCGACTTCGGTAACCTTGTTTTCTTACGGTCGCTCGCCGATTCCAACTCTTCTGTCCCATTAACTCACATTGCCATGTACTAAGGTTTGACATTCATGTTCTCAAGGAACCACATCGAACATTAGATGTCAGTGGGCCGGACTCGGAGACACTAGTACGCGCGCATTCTATCCGGCACTGGGTTGTGCATAGTAGTTTCAGACGAGATACATTGTGTACATAGTGTAGTCACCGTGCAATTGTACACTGGCATACTAAGCTATGTATCTCGACCGTACTGCACCGTCAGGTGCTGCCACAGACAGAGGGCCGAGGTGCCGGATTCTGTCCTGCCGGCGAACATCCTGACAGTTCGAATTCACAACGAGGGGCCGCGCAAATACATCGAGTGCGCAGAGGCTCACGACCAGCCGACAGATGCCCGGACCACTATGCAGCCGCACTCGACCGAGCGCGTTGAGTGCGTGGTCGCCCTACTGGAACAAGAACGGGAAGACGTACCCGTGCAGTATGGCCGCGGCGTCGGTCACTCATCACGCCATAACGCATCGCCGCCTCGCATCACCAGCGAGACTCGCTGATCGACTGCGCAGTCATGAACAGACCGCCCCAGTGGGCACGACGCGCAGAGTCGCAACTTCTAGACGACGCGCAAGCCTTCGCAACTCATAATACCGGAGACTTCGATGTAATCCGGCGTGAATCTAATGAGCGCAGTCACTCGCGCATAGCTCCAATGCACGGCCGGGTTTCGGCGGTGAACGTGGTCAGACAAGTGAAGTGAACGCGCTGAGGTTTGATGCTTACCGCGCCGGAGGTGTCCTTGCTACTGGTGACCAGGGAACTCGCTTCGACACCGAGCCCAAGGTTTGGTGCAATGACGAACTTCTCGAGGGCTGACCGGTGCGCCGAATACACAACGCGGCGACCCGGAGTGCGGAAACATGCTGTTGAACACGGACGTCACCATCGACACATGAAAGTGGGCTATAGTGGAACGTACCATTGTCGCGACCATTCGCTGTCACTGAGACGTGAGGTGGCAGGAGCAAGGAACTGGATTGTCCTGGCTGCCTCTCCTCGCTTTATAGCCATCGTACATCAATGATCACATGGCGTTGCTGACCATCTTTACTAGCTGCACACGGCGTCCCGGAGTCTTCACAGCGGCCGTCGGGTTACAGACCGTTTGGCGGGAATTGAAACCAACACGACCCTGACTCGCGGTGTATTCAATTTTTCCTGTTGTCAGGGTGCATATGTATTGGATAACTTCACTCCGGGTGCCCGCGCGCTGGCCGCTTATGTACCCGAGATTGATGTATCTTCTGTACCTGAAATGTGGTCATTGTGAGCGTGCGAGGTAAACTCATTTGGCGGAACCGTACATTCTTCACAGTGTGTGAATCGGACACTTCACGAGGGATGTTCTTTACCATGTCGCGCCTGTGCGCATCGTGCACATTAGCTGAACATTGCTATGTGCATACCCTGGGCCTGAAACACTGCATCATTGCCGTCAACGTTCAGCTACCAGCTCCCAGACACAAAACCGCATCTGAATACATTCGGATGCGTCTCCTCTGGACGGCATTTACTCACCTGACGGGAACCGTCGTACGACAGCATCACACGCCGCGTAACAACGCACCGCTGGTGTGCCTTCGAATGTGTCATACTGCTCCACGGATCCAAGGAGAGGCCGCGAAGCTGTCACAGCGGCGAGCCGAATCCGTGTAGTACCCGTGCAGCGAAATCCATTGAGTTATCGTGGTCAGCTGTGTTCGTGCCAGTGTTCAAGCTGTGCAGCGAGACACCGAGTGTAATCCACTGGGAGCCCGGGCCCGCACTGCGATCGAACACTATGCATTACCAGAAGTCCCGCGACGAGTGCGGATTGACCCGCCATTGTTACCGCCCTGCGGTGTCATTGGTACTGCCTGAGGCAGCCCGACCGGCGTTGTTCATTGACGCAGACCGTCGTATGGAGACCTGGATATGACTCAGCGGAGACCGTGACAGGACGGTGCACCTTACACTAGGCATCGGGATACGCAGGCAGACCTGAACAACAGGGCACCTAACCTTCTCGGGATCTCGTGAACGGCAGAAGTAACATGACAAACTGTTGGTCCACACGATCAACATGTCGAAACGCGGCGAAGAGATCGGGATCCACACAAACGTACCTTTGGCGCCGCCCAACCGGCGTTGCTCGCCGGTACTGAGTTACAGTACGCGAGATCGGACAGAAAGCCAATCTGCCGATGAGCGCAGTTGCTTGCCGAGTGGAGTGATCTACATAGGGGGGATTGAGGCGCCAACCCTCCGCGGGGCGAGATATATGCCGACAGTGATAGCCTGCAATAGCGTTTGGTGACGTCGTAGCTACAGAATTCCGACCATTCATGTCACTCGTAGCATACACCGTCAAGATGGTGACTCACACGACCGGCGCGCATGCGTCCCGTTTGTGTGGTGAAAGTCGACGGCAAGGGCATCGGGCTACAGATGTTGTGTCCCTGGTGAATGGATTGCGCCCTTACTAGCTGTATGTGTACCTCGTACCCTAGTTGTGAATACGAAACAAGGCTAGTGATACAAAGCTTAGTATAATTGAGCGCCCCTCTGTGAGTGCATGAGACGGACACGTCACCTTGATTGTGTCGCGTTTTCCTGATACGCAGGCTTCAATGGTGCTTCTGATGCGGGTCGTGCATGTGAAAACATGACCGCCTCGCCTTCAACCTGTTGATATTAGTCGCGCGGCAATTGGATTGCCTTCCATCGCGTTACATTGAGTCCTGGACTCTCAGGTCTGACCCTGGTCAGTGCGCCTACCTGCGTTGACGCACGCACCGCGGCATGCCGCATTGAGGTATACGTGGCCTCGGTAGCAGCCCGGGGATGTTCGTCACCAGGTAAGGCTGGCAGTGACCCCGCCAGGCAGCCAACGCCGTGGGTCAATGGCTACAGTGAGCAGTGGCGGTCCTCTGGTGCTCACGGCGATACCATCGTGTGACCCTAGATGTCGCAGTACCTGGGTACGACGTGCTAGGGATCGGACTCGGACTCTAAGCGGAGCGAATGCTCAACCAGATTGAAGGCTCGAAACAGGGTGTGTTTCGGGCCATACAGCGGCAGAGGTTACGCCCTTGATGCGCACGTCACGGCGTTGCAACCTGAGCTATCATTGTTCTATACTGAGGCGACCCTCGCAGCCAGGCTAACAGATCGATGATGGTGGTTGGAGCTCTGGGCGCGCACACACCTGTGGCCCGGAGTTCCTGGCGAGGTATTCCGTCCATACGTCATTGACCAGAGTGTTGCGGATTACTGAGCAGATTGCGTGGTGGAACGGTCGTCGAGAGGCGAGGAAAACGTGCATTGACACGCTCCAATTGAGCGGGCAGTGTCGAAGCCAGACATTGTGGCATCCATTGGACAGACACACGGACACGGACCGTCTGGATGTTCATGTCGGCAGTGCATGCGTTCTCCGTGCACGAATTGACCTGCACCAAGGCGGGTTGACATACTCGTACTTACTGTTACGTCAACGTTTGTTTTCCTTTATTTTGCGCTTGACCGTTGTACTACCTTAGCATGGGCCCAACCCCATGACGCTACGCTTCTAGTCTTCGGACTACTTCGCTGTTCGCTCCGGTCCAACCCGGGGCAGTTCACGTGATCTCTGACTCAGTATGACTCGTCGTGACTCGTCTCTTACTCATACCTGGCTCATCGTTTATGACTCGGTCCCTGACTCGTCATGACTCACTCCCCCGCGCTCCTATTGGCTAGGTAGTTATGACTCATCCAGGACCTGCCCTGAACTCCCCATGTATATAAGACCAGTGTACAGTAGCGGTCGAACCTTAGTTCGACCTGGTTATCTATTGAAGCTTCACCAGCTCCTTGGATATCAGAAACTCCCCGCTCGACCTGCTAGACGGACTTAGCAGCGTCTTCGACCATCCTCCCCATCCAAGGACGATCAGAACCTAAGGTCCCTACGTTTAGGGTTAGGTTGAGAGCTAGTGCTCTAGGTGTCACGCTTCGCGTAACATAAGGTCGAACTGATCTTTACGCTCCGCCTGCTCAGGCGCAGAGCCCACACATCTTCACACACGCTTCCGGAGTGCCCCTCCG